CCTTATTTGGCACAATTATCTGGAAATTTGATTCGATCGTCACTTATCAATCTCATGTAGACGAATTGTGCATCTAACAAACACAATTATAAGAATGGTATCAGTGATAAGTTTTTAAAATCCATCTTTTATTACCCATTGCCTGAAAACAATTAAACTAAATGACACTAATTAGAATTTCAGACCACTGGTGCTTTTTTTGTCAATTATTGCTAAATGATATAAGTGTCCAATTAACAAGTCTGTTGAATCATTAGATCCGACCCCTCGAACAGAAAAGCCCAGACGATATGGCGGCAGAGCAATATCCTAGAAAAAAGAATGGACTCTAAAAATTCATCATTATCTTTTAGTTATGAGAGAAAAGAAGGAATTTAAGATGCGGGTGAACCTAATTTGATAAATTAATATAAAGCACACATGTTATGTAAAGGAACTTCAAAACATTAAAATTACAATGTACTTTGAAGACTGTTATGCTCAACCACATGAAATAGCCTGTACCTATAAATCTACCCATTCAATAAGTATAATCAAAGACTTTAACGTGAACGGTTGAACAATACAAAAATACCTGTCAGAAAGATTTTATTCAATAACATATCTTCGATACAAAATCTACCCGAGATCAAGAGTCGCTAAAGTTAGTTTTGTTTTATTAATTTAAGAATTATTCATTTATATATTTACTATTTATCTTTGCACAATTTTTTTTTAGATTATCATCATTCATTAACTCTGGTGACGTCGAAAATCTCGCATTAACATTTTTCAACTAATCAGAGAGATCGATTAGGTTCCAAAGGACAGTTTGCACGTGCAGTGATTGTCCTCAGAAAATGATTTTCAGTTCTGACTTGCAAACGTTTGTAGGAATACCGGAAACTTTCACCCACGTACGTGAAAATGTGTATTTCGACACTTTCTAGATATATTTTGATGTATGTTTTGATTGAGTTATACTGGCTAGATTTGTTCATGATTTACATAAAATTTAAAACGAAATCTTTGAAAATGTATGTATCAATGTTACTTTATTTCGAAGGTTCACTGTTTAATTGGGTAAATTTTAAGGTGAATCTTGCATATTTCTTTGATCCGAGTAAAATTTGTTAGTCTATTATACGTTTTGCTGCGCAACTCATCAGTTGTTGACGTAAAGTTGTTTCTAGAATGCTCGGAAAATTGATTAAAGTTCGGGGTTTGTTTGTTATTTTTTGTTGACATTTTCAAACGTGTCTTAAATCTTTTATTTGAACTTAGACATGATAGTGGTAGAAATATAAATGGAATTTTGGATGCAAGCCCTGGGCATCATTGGAGAAAATTATATACTTTAGTTAAATACTGAAACTTTTGGTCTTAGAATTATTGAGACATTGCAGAATTAAGGATTGTTGGCGGATGGTCAAATTACACTTGAGACTATGCAGCTGAACTAATGTTATTGTCATGTCTTTATTATTATGTGTTGTTTAATACAAATTGTATTTGTCTGAATTACTGAATTACTGATAAAAGCCTTTTGCTTGGTCTGATTTATTTTTTGTGAATAAATTACTCCCGAATACTTCCCCCTTTTACAGGGAATCTTTCATATTTTAACGATTTTCAACGAAATGTTGTGATATTTGATACTTGTATATTCTGAAATTTGGTATGTGAAATTGGTATGACGAAATGTATTACTGTCTTAACAATCCATAGATCGTTTTCTTATAAGCATATTCAGGACAGAACTAGACTATTTTCGTTAAACTTATATTGTTGATTTTATACCAACATTGATTTATTTAGAAATTAGATTTTCTGTTGTTTCAATAGTTTTGATCGTGTGAACTTAGTTTCGAAAAGTTGGGTTATTATTTTCCCTCTTGAAACGACTAATGTCAATAGGTTGTGCTACCGGCTTTAAATCAGTCTGTCTGTCACATCTTTACCATCTCTTGAACTAAAACAATAGACTAGTTAACATGTGGTAGCCTCAACTGTCGACTCTTCATATGAATATTTGATATACTTTAGTACCTTTTGTCAATTATAATCCATAGAGTTTTCAGCCAAATAAAAATATCCTCCAATTAGATTAAAACAGTTACCCACCCCAGAGGACAAACATATACCAGTTTTTGTCATTCTCCATAAATTAAGGAAGACTAATCTTCTGTTTACGCATGTTCATTATTCACTTCAATATTTCCCCACATGTCACACTTAACCAATTTTTGATATAGTCGAACTATCCTACAAGATGTTAAAGTATATTGTTTAGGTTTGACCTGACATATATTTTATGCGTATGCTTACATAATGTTTATAACGTATATAATGTATAAGAATCGGTATACATTGTATATTCCGTCTTACTTCAAGTTCGGTTAACTCCTATTTGCCAGAAAAAATATAACTCAAAAGTGACATACATGTGTATGTCCCATGTCTGTTACTGGCAAATTTCATGTATGTCTAATAGATTGGATTTTATTAAGTAAGAGTAATG